CCCTGGTGCTTTGCCCTTCTTGAGCTTTTTTGCTGCCAGGGCCAGTTCCGTCCGGGTGACCCCCAGCTCCTCCTGCCAAGGCCAATGCTCCTCCCCTCTATGCCCCTCATACTCGGGACCCCTCCCATCCCCCGCTGGGAATAGTGCTTCCACCACTTCCTGGAGAAATCGAGGCTTCATCAGCTCGACCGTCGGGGGCGCCCCTGAGCTTAGCTTGTTCATAACAAGCTTGTAGGGGCGCCCCCATGGGTCCGCGTCCAGGGAGCTGATTGAGTTCTCCCACGCTTTTTCTTTAGCCATTTTTATGGCCATCCTCAGCGCCTTTCTTTTTTGGCGGTATTCTTCCGCTAACCTCTCCTCTTCCGCCAGAGGAGTTCTCTTTCTTCTTCTCGCCCGCAGGAAGGCCCTCCTGGCAGCTACCGAGGATCTCCTCAACTCCTCAATTTCCTCGGACCACCAGAAGGCCGCCCTGCGCGGGGCGAACTTCGCTCGCGGCATTGCGCTGTCGCATGCGTTGGTCATCGTGTGCCGCAGCCATTCCACTTCCTCCTCTACTGTAGCTGCCGGTTCCGGCTACGCCCATAGCGCCGCACCCAGCGACTCTACCAGTTTGTCGGTGTCCAGTTTATCAACCCTCCACCTGACAGCCTGCTTCTGCGCCCCCCTCCTTCTGTCCTCCCAGGAGAGCTCCAGTTCTATGGGGAGGTGGTCGGATAGCATCTCCATGCTCTCCGCGACCTCCCATTTTCTTACTCTCCTCGCGGCCGCAGGGGAGGTCCACGTCAGATCGACGATTGACTCCCCCTGCGGCCTCACGCAGGTGCTAACCGCCCCTACATTTTCCAGGTGAAGGCCCAGGCGAGTTGCCCAGGCCTCCACATCCGCCCCTTTGGCGTCCGGTCGCCGGGAACCCCAAAGTGCCGATTTGGCGTTGAAGTCCCCGGCGACCAGTATTGGCCCAGGAAGATATTCCCGGACCACGTCCTCCAGGTCTTGGAGTCGGGCCTCCACTTCCGCCCTGGAGAGGCTGGGTCTAATATATACCCCGATCACGACCAAGGGTCCCCTCTCAACTGCGACCCATCCCTCTCCCGTTTTTAGTCTGGAGATAGGGGGGGTTCTTTCTCCCGTTCTCCTCCATACGATCGCGGCCGATCCGTCCGTGCTCCCCACCCAGCACGGATTCTTGGGGACACGGTACGGCTCGGCCACGATTCCGAGTCCACAACCACGCTCCGCCAGGCTGTGAAGGAAAAGATCCTGGGCCTGGCGGGCGTGGTTGAGGTTCGCCTGGAGCACCTTCATCGCTGTGAAGGCGCCCCCTTACCAGCCTCCTCCTGGCTGTTTCCACCTCTCGGGTGCTCCTTTGCTCCCTGTTCCGCTGGTTCCGTCTCCATCGGCTCCCCTCGCTCAGTTGATGGGCCCGCTGTTGCTTCGCTCGTCATCTTGTTGGCTTTCCCCGATTTGGTTTGGCCCTCCTCCACGGCTCTTCTTGGCTGCCCTTTTCTTCTCTCCCTTGCTTGGGAGTCGGCACGCCGCTCCTCCGGCCTTATGGTTGGAGGGCAGTCCTTTCCCACTGCACACGGCACAGTTTGGGATTTCGTTACACCCCTGTGCCTTGTGCCCCTCTTTCCCGCACCTGTAGCACAGTGTGCTTCTGTCGATGGTGCTTTTGCATTGGGTCCTTACGTGTCCCCTCTCCAAACACTTGTAACAAATCAGGGGGAGCGGTTCCAACATCTCCACCCTAGCTGCCACCCATCCTACCCTGATTCTCCTCGCCTCGGCTGCTCTCTTCGCAACCTCAATCCCGCATTGGATCCAGCAGGTGCCGAGGCCGCTGGGAGTTAGTCGGATCGGGCCTACCTTTATGTCCTCTGGCTGGCCTTCTCCGATCTTTGCTACCGCATCCCGTACTTCCTCCATCGTGACGGATTCGTCTAGATCCTTCATACGGATCTCCGCCCTTTTTGCGGGGCGGGAGACCCGTACGCCTTTCTCCTCCGCTACCGCCTTTATGCGGCTAGCCAGCGTGTCGGCCTTTGCCTTCGCTTCCTCCCCTCCTGGGATTTCCAACAGAGTCGCCCCGTTCAAGGCTCTTCTGTACTTGACGTTATTGATTCCCAGGTCCTCCAGGTTAATTTGGGACCTCAGGTACCGCATCCCCTCCCCCGCTTGTCCTTCGGGGAAGGTGATCGCCACAGCAGCAGACCTGGGTGTCCTTCTCCTTTTCGGCTCCCCTTTTCCCTTTTCCTCCCTCCGCGCCTTTTCTCCGGCTTTGCTGGTAGCTGCCGCGGCGTTGGGTTTCGTCGCCGGCTCCTGCTTTCCGCCCGCCGGCTTCTTTCTCCCTCTCTTTACTACCTCCACCCATGGGGTGGCCGGCGTAGCTGGAGTGTTCTCCTTCAGCGCCTTCTCCTCCTTGGTGCCGCGCACAATTTGCGCCGCGGTCTCCCTTGCCTTAACCCGTAGCCTGTCCTTAACCACCTCCACCTTGGTGATTGTGGGCAGGCTTCTCGGGTTATTCCCTTTGCCCTGCTTCCGTTCCTTCGGGATCCGGGTCAGCGCTCCCTGGCACCTGGTTATTAGGTTTTCCAGGTTGCATTTCACCTTTTCCGGGTCCCCGTTGACGACATCCTTGATGGAGACTCCCTCCATCACTTTTCGGACACCCTCCATGGCCTCCTCTATTGGCGGCTCATCCAGCACCTTCCTCTCTCCTCTTATCGTTGGCCGGTATACCGTATCTTCGGTTCTTTCGGCCGTCTTCGATTTTGCCGTCTTCCCTGCCTCTTGTGTTTGGCCCTGGGCCTTGGGCCGCGCAGGTTTCGCCGTTTTCGCGGGCTTCGCAGGGGCTTGAGCTCGGGCTTTGGCACGGGGTGGGTGGTCTACCCCGAGATCCCATTCGGGCATCTCCACCGTTTCTGCCCTTTCCTGACTGTCCTTGCCCTTCGCTCCTGCTCTCATCTCCCTCTCCTCGTGTAGAAGCATCGTCAGCCTCCCCACCTGTTCTTCGAGGCTCCTCACCCTCTCCCTGAGCTTCTCGGTCTCCTCCTCTCGCGCGTCACTGTGTAAGCCAGCCGTCTTCTTGGCTATCACAGTAGCTGCCGCCTGAAGGTTTTTTGAGCACACCTTTAGCTCCTTCACGAAGGTGCCTTTGAGGTTTTTAGACCTCTCGGCCATCTTCACAACAACGTTGACATTCTGTAGCATTTCTGCTGCGATCTGCGCGTTGTTGAGACCCTCTAGCTGGCAGACCTTCTCTCTTTCTGGCGTGATGTCCCGTGGCAGAACCTTGGGGTTCAGTACCTCTGCCCGCGCTTTCTGCTCGGCCTTGAGTTTTTTTATCTCTAGCCTGCACTCCATCTTTTTCTTCCTTTTTAAGCCCGCGTATGTCGTGGGCGGCCTCCCTCTCTTCTTTCTCTTACCGGTGATTTGATCCACCGATGAGTCCGAAGACATTCCGTCGTCCGTGGGTGGGACTACTTTCTCCACGTCCACCATTGCCTCTGTGTCCGATCCGTCTGAGGCTGTCGGAAGCGGGGTGTTCCTGGCTACTTTAGAGCACGCTGGCCCTGGCTTCGTACCACGTGCTGTAGCCGATGTGCTGGCACCTTCTTGTCGGGTCTTCCCTTGGGACATGTCCATCCTACCACCTGTCCCTTGGGAGTTGCCCGTCTTTCTGTCTTTCCCTTCCTCTCCTGCGTTTTTGGTTTGGTGTGTCTTCATATCGGCAGTGATTTCTAAAACCGGTTCGCCCATCATGGGACCTCCACCGCGGTGGGGGCACTATCCCCGGTGTTGAGATTCCCTAATTACAGACCGGGCAGTGGAGATGCCCTTTTCGGGGGAGCCACCCCCTATCCCGGTCAGTGCTTCTAATCAAAAAGGTCCCTGGAGACGGCCAGGCCCACTATGATGTTAAAGGTTTAACCTCACCCCCGAAGAGGAGCGCGCACCGATCCGATCGGCCGCATACTCCTCCCCAGGGCTAGAGGTTGTAAGGGAATCTCCCTCACAGGGTATGAGAGGACGCTGGCTATGCGCCTCTCCATACCCGCGCCCGGACTGCCGGCTTCAACGCCCTGATAGGCTCCAGACGGACGAGACGGGAGCGGTTTTCCCACATTAAACATGCCACTTCCTGCGGACTTTTCCAGTAAACTGAACTTACATTCCCGCTTAGTCCATGGCAGAGGTCAGGTACAGACGTCACCGCTCGTCCCCGGTCGGGGGGTTTACTACTCCCCCCTTGGTTAGTCTCAGGGATATCCACCGGCAGCCGACCGCGGCTCACTCACACACCACGCACACTGCCGATCCTCCGCCCTCCACGCCCAGCCCCGTACGCCAGGCCGCACGCCC